AGATTTATCACCATTGGATATCTTTATGTGGGGTCATTTAAAAAGCAAAATCTATGCTACTCAGCCAACATCGTTAGGAGACCTGCGACAAAGAATTGTGAATGAGTGCCTTCAAATTACTCCTCAAATATTGCAAAATGTGAGGCAACGTTTTGAGCAAAATCTTTATTATTGCATGGTGAGTCATTGTGGCCATTTTCAACATTTGCTTGCCTAAGAAGAACTGAATCATCCTTTTTCTTGAATTGCAATTAGGTATCGATAAGAAATTTTGTGTATGATTTATTTAAACTCATAGTGGATAGCCTTAAACATTCAAAATCTGCTTTTAAAGCTTTAATAGTAATTTTATTTCGTATGGAGGGATATACGTATATATTTGTTGTATTGTAATAGGTCTCAATACAATAGGAAAGTGAATCTTTAGCAGTTTTGCTTATCTTTTATTGACTTTTCTCCAATATTTTCTGGATCACGTCTCTTCAGAAATAAAAGGGTAAACAACGCCCTTCACACTGTTTTCAGTATTCGAAATATAAACCTGTGTAAATTCTCTCAGGTAATCCCGGAATTATTCCTTTCAATATTATTTGTAACCCACAACTCCGCAATTCTGAAAATAACTCGCGAAACAACTGAAATGTATCCCCGAAAACGTTATCTCTGGTATAAATGTTTTTTACGAGTTCCAAAAAGTCGGGCAGACCACCCCTATATATACATATATTGTTACCTGTGTCAGGTCCAACACAGGTCAACCTTTTTACACCGGACATTCGTCCTGAAGAGGAGTGTTCTGTGAGTTACGATGCATTTTATTTGTTTATTAGTCCAAGGCGAATAACAATAGATTTTAGAAATGAGAGTATTTTAGTATTTTAAATAACTTGTTCGCCCATCCCCATTTGCGAATACTGATATCCTGGATAAATGTTCGCACGTCCTGTTGCCATTTTGTAAGGCGGATTTATGAGGTGAATACGAAAATATAGCTGTGAAAGATTACCTCGCTTCCCCGAACTGGCAGCTAATGTATGTTTGCAGTTTATTAGGCGGGTGTTGCGTGTGTGAATATTTTAAAATGCCCACTAGATTTGTGAGGCAGATCTTTCGCGTGAAGTGGCAGGAATGAGTAATAACGTAGGAAGAGGTCTGCATTTATGTGGAAGCAGAAATGCAATCCTGGTCTAACGAGGCCAATACTGCCTATTTATAAATGAAATCGGCCGGAGCGTAAAAAGCGCAGGATTATTACGTAAAAAATCGACCTATTGTCATTACAATCCTCGCTGTGGGAGCCACCTATGGAGGAATGATCTATAGTATAGAACTGGCAGCTCAGGAGATAGAAACTACAAATAGCCTCCTATAGTGATACGTTTGAAGCAGAGGTTACGTACATCAGATCCAAACGATACAACTCAACAGACATTACGTTTAGGAAACACGCGCAGCAACTATAGTTGTAGTCACCGTTCTTGGCGGTTACGTCACAAACGCCATATGAAATAAGTAAACAGATCGATCCTCTGTACGGTCGGCACAGACTAATATTCAGCACATCTGCTACTCTCTCCAGTACGCATGAAGAGGCTGTTTTCATTCTCTTCCTGGAAATACTCTAAAAAGTTTAGTATGAGCTGTCGGCCTTCTCCATTGATCATATTTCTGGGCATTGTACTATTTTGTATTGAAGATTGATAACAGGACAACTCAAATTGCACGCCCATGTAACTTGTCATTCTGTCAAATATGATTGAAGGGCTCTCATATGCAATGACAAAGTTTTCGAGATGGAGACACACAACTATTGCAAATATTTGATATAATTAGAACTGAACAACGTGAAGTATAACTTGAATCGTTTTATATAAATGAATCTGTTTACCGACACCCTTACTAATAATAATAAATGTATACTAAGTGACATATAAATCCGAACACCCAGTTTAAATGGTTTTATTTTAATAAAAGTTGGTGAATGTATTTATCTTACTGTAAATAACAAGTGAAAAAATTTTCAGCCTTATCAGTTGGACATTCCGGTTTTTATACTGCTTTTTTTTAATTCACTAACGCTCTAAAAATGAATATTTCAGCCGCAGTAAAGAATCAACGTTGGCGGATTTTGGTTCTTGACATCCTTTACGATCGGTTACGATGCCTAGAGTACGGAGACCTGTACGATTTCGTCAACTTAGTGAGTTTGATAGGGGCCGTATAGTGGGACTTCGGGAAGCTCGACTTTATTTTCGGGCAATTGGAGTTAGAGTGCAAAGAAGTGTAGACACTGTGGTTAGATGTTGTCAGGCATGGCTTCGAGAAGGCCGTACGCAAAAAGCAAGGGGCACTGGACGCCGCCGTAGAACAACAGACCATGAAGATCGCCGCCTAAGATTATTGGCCTTAAGGGACCGTTTCTCTACCAGGCCCATTGCAAATGAATGGTTTGCAGAACACGGAAGACCTATTGGCATGCGAAGTGTTTACCGACGAATGAGAAGTTTTGGCTTGTTTTCATACCGGCCACACTAGGTCCTCACTTTAACTCGAGAACACCGACGTAATCGCCTTGAGTGGTGCAGACAACGGTCACTCTGGGATCCGGAATGGAACAGTATTGTCTTTAATGACGAGACTCGATTTTGTTTAGGCATGCACGATGGTCGTGCCAGGGTTAGAAGGCGACGTGGTGAAAGGAGGAATCCACAGTTTTTTGTTGAAAGACATGTTCATCACACTGTTGGAGTTATGGTTTGGGGTGCTATAGCTTATGGTTCCAGGTCACCTTTAATCTTCATCAGAGGTAACATGAACGCGCAGCGTTGTATCCACGAAGTTCTAGAACCCCATCTTTTACCCTATCTTGACACCCTGGCAGATCCAACTTTCCAGCAAGATAATGCCCGACCACATGTTGCAAGAGTCACAATAGACTTCTTTCAACATAATGATGTCACATTGTTACCATGGCCACCAAGATCTCCCGACTTATCCCCAATTGAGCACGTGTGGGATATTATTGGTAGAAGATTGCTCAATTTGCAACGTCCTCCTCAGACTCTAGAAGCACTTCGAGAGGAGTTGGTGGTTGCCTGGAATGAGATACCACAGGAGGACATTGACCACCTGATCAGAAGCACGCCTAGGCGCGATGGAGAATGCGTAGCACATCAGGGTGCATCCACACATTATTATAGGTCAAACGGCTTTAAACCAGTGCAATCATTTTGAAATTTTTATCATTTACTTATTATGCTTCATTAAGTACTTATACAAATTTTTTTAAAAATAAAACCATTTAAACTGGGTGCTCGGATTTATATGTCACTTAGTATATTGTAATTTAATTATTTTATGTCAGTATTATGTATATTTTGAATACAATATCGATACAGCTTCAACTGGAGTTGTCATGTGTATACAAACTTATTCCAGTCACTCGTCGATTGAGAGGAACAAACACAAGTGAGTAAAATATACTAAGTGACATATAAATCCGAACACCCAGTTTAAATGGTTTTATTTTAATAAAAGTTGGTGAATGTATTTAACTTACTGTAAATAACTAGTGAAAAAATTTTCAGCCTTATCAGTTGGACATTCCGGTTTTTATACTGCTTTTTTTTAATTCACTAACGCTCTAAAAATGAATATTTCAGCCGCAGTAAAGAATCAACGTTGGCGGATTTTGGTTCTTGACATCCTTTACGATCGGTTACGATGCCTAGAGTACGGAGACCTGTACGATTTCGTCAACTTAGTGAGTTTGATAGGGGCCGTATAGTGGGACTTCGGGAAGCTGGACTTTCTTTTCGGGCAATTGCAGTTAGAGTGCAAAGATGTGTAGACACTGTGGTTAGGTGTTGTCAGGCATGGCTTCGAGAAGACCGTACGCAAAGAGCAAGGGGCACTGGACGCCGCCGTGGAACAACAGACCGTGAAGATCGCCGCCTAAGATTATTGGCCTTAAGGGACCGTTTCTCCACTACCAGGTCCATTGCAAATGAATGGTTTGCAGAACACGGATGACCTATTGGCATGCGAAGTAATTACCGACGAATGAGAAGTTTTGGCTTGTTTTCATACCGGCTACACTGGGTCCTCCCTTTAACTCGAGAACACCGACGTAATCGCCTTGAGTGGTGCAGACAACGGTCACTCTGGGATCAGGAATGGAACAGTATTGTCTTTAGTGACGAGTCTCGATTTTGTTTAGGCATGCACGATGGTCGTGCCAGGGTTAGAAGGCGACGTGGTGAAAGGAGGGATCCACGGTTTTTTGTTGAAAGACATGTTCATCACACTGTTGGAGTTATGGTTTTGTGGTGCTATAGCTTATGGTTCCAGGTCACCTTTAATCTTCATCAGAGGTAACATGAACGTGCAGCGTTATATCCGCGGAGTTCTAGAACCCCATCTTTTACCCTATCTTGACACCCTGGCAGATCCAACAAGATAATGCCCGACCACATGTTGCAAGAGTCACAATAGACTTCTTTCAACATAATGATGTCACATTGTTACCATGGCCACCAAGATATCCCGATTTATCCCCAATTGAGCACGTGTGGGATATGATGGGTAGGAGATTACTCAATTTGCAACGTCCACCTCAGACTCTAGAAGCACTTCGAGAGGAGTTGGTGGTTGCCTGGAATGAGATACTACAGGAGGACATTGACCACTTGATCAGAAGCATGCCTAGGCGCGTTGGAGAATGCGTAGCACATCAGGGTGCATCCACACATTATTAAAGGTCAAAGGGCTTTAAAGTAGTGCAATCGTTTTGAAATTTTTATCATTTACTTATTATGCTTCATTAAGTACTTGTACAAAATTTTATTAAAATAAAACCACTTAAACTGGTTGTTAGGATTTATATGTCACTTAGTATAGATGAAAGACAAATAAATTTCTTAGTAGAATCTTACATTATTTGCACCAGAAGTAAGTTGCAAGCAAATGGCGTCTAAAATACCTAGTTGAGGCAGCAGCGGTGGCCGCTGTAGTAGACTCTACGGTCTCCTGATCAGTCGCCGTGCGCTGTGCGGGTTCGAGTCCCGTCACAGGAGAAATTTTTCTCTTGTCTATGGATGTTGTGATTGTCCGTAGGTGGTAGACGGTCTCTGACTGTCGAACGTGGAGATACCACCCGGCGGATCTCGTAGGCGGAGCCAGAATGTGTGCATGTTGCATGCACACGTGTTCCCTCGCCCGTGTGGCGTTCCCCCTTTCCCCTGTATCCCCCTATAGCCCCACGGTACCCAATGGGTGTTTAGGCCTTAGGCCTTCGTGGTAGGTAAAAAAGTTAAATATGCCTTAGAAAAGGTAACCCTCAAAATAGTACACACCTTAAGATTAAAGCGAATATTCATACACCATTTTACATTAAAGACGCCTGAAATCGTTTATGTAGTTATTTTATAGTGAAGACGCAATCGACGAAAAAGAATAGACTTTAAGTTGAAAGATTGCTCTGGCTTTGCGTGTAAATTATATGAGCCATTCGATAAATTCTAAGCTTTGTCAAAAAATAGCATATTACCAAACACTTCTTTCTAAAAGTTTTTTTTTTTTTTTTTTTTTATATATCGAAACAGCCGCGCAGGCAGAAGCCTAAATGCCGGAACACCGCGGCTGCTATGATGATCCCAAAGAAATTTTGTTAATACGATTTTTGAACTGCCTAAGGTTAGTAGAACAGGGAAAAGCTTCCTCCCGTAGATCCACAATCTAGACACCCTCGGGACAAAGGAGCGGTCGTATCGGCCAGTTCTGGATGTACGAAGTTTGACACGGTTAGGGTGGGACGCCGAAGTCAGGCGGGTCTGTCTGGCAGGCACATCGCGCGGCGGCATAATGGAAGAGAGCTCTGAGGAGCAAAGCCCGTTGGTGTAGCGATAGAAAAGAGCTAGATCGCCAACGGCCCGCCGGTGCGAAAGAGTCCCGAGACTGTCTGTTAGAGAAGAGTCATCGATCAGTCGGACCGCCCTCCTCTGGACAGCATCGAGCATGGACAATGTAGTCGGGGCGGCAGCACCCCAAATGTGTGAGCAATACTCGAGGCTGGGCCTTATCTGGGCCTTGTATAGAGTGAGAAGGTCATGCGGAGAAAAGTACTTCTTAGCCCTAAACAAATAGCCTAGCTTTTTCCCAGCAGCTGCAGCTATTGAAGAGATGTGTTCGTGCCAGATCAGGTCCTCGGTGATCTGGACTCCGACCAGCCGAAATGAATGGCTCTTTGGTAGAACTCGACCGTCCATCGAAACTGTATGAGCGCTAGGACGCTTTTTGTTCGTCAAAGTACAGTACTGTGTTTTGGAAGCATTGAACTGTACAAGATTGTTGCGTCCCCAAGCAGTGATAGCCTCCAGGTCTCTTGTCAGAGAAGAAGTCGTCGCTAGTCTTCTTTTTTCCAGCTCAGCGGCAGAGATCGGCTTGTCACTCTGAATTCCTGCATGTAGAGTGCTGTCATCAGCGAAGCTGTGGATTGGGTTGATCGTGCAGGAAAGGAGGTCGTTGATATGTAAGAGAAACAGTGTTGGAGCCAAGACCGATCCCTGGGGAACACCCGCGTTGACGTTGTGGGATGAAGAGGAGAATCCGTCAATTACGACGGATATCTTGCGGCCAGAGATAAAGTCAGCCACCCATCTGCAAAGCTTTTCTGGGAGGCCGTAGGATGGAGGTTTGCTCAAGAGGGCAGCGTGCCACAGCTGATCGAACGCTTTCGTGATGTCAAGAGCAACGACATGAGGCTCACCATGAGACTGGATGAGTTTACTCCACAGTTGCGTGACGTAAGCTAGGAGGTCCCCTGTGGATCGTTGGTGCCGGAAACCATACTGCCTGTCGCTAATCAAGCTGTGACGTTCGAGGTAGTCCAGAAGCTCGCGATTTATGCACCTCTCCATCACTTTACTTATAACAGAAAGCAGAGCTATAGGCCTGTAGTTGTAAGGGTCGGTTTTAGATCCTTTTTTTGGGATGGGCTGTACATGAGCAAATTTCCAGTTTTCTGGGAAGGTGCCGGATTCATAAGATATCTGGAAGAGACGCGAAAGAACTGGAGCAAGCTCAGCTGCACATCTCTTCAGCACAATGGCAGGAATCAAGTCCGGACCAGAAGCTTTGATGATGTCGAACGACAAGAGCACTCGTGTTACGGTCTTATGCCTGAATGTTACCTCCCGCATAGTGTGAGGAACCCTTTGAATTGACGGCACTTGGGCGTTGGTGGGGACGTCCATGGTGGAGTTGGAAGCAAAGATCTTGGCTAGCACTTCCGCCTTGGCCTTTGAGTCGAATACAATAGTTCCATCCTGACACGTAAGTGGTGGAAGGCTACTGTGTGGGAAGTTCTTTTCAATCTGCTTGGCCTGCGTCCAGAAAGACCGACTGCCATTGCTCTGCGACATTACCCTGTGCCTAACTTTTATATCATGCTGGGTTTTGGCATTGCGAACCGCTTCGTTATATTTGTTTCTGGACTCGACGTCGGCTTGTCTGTTCTCTACAGTGGGGTTTTGTAAGTAGGTTCTGTGGGCCTTGATCTTCTGCTGGCGAGCAGTGTCACACGATTTGTTGAACCAGCCGTTGGACCCTGGTTTAGGAACTTTCACTGTGTGAGGGATGTATTCCTCCATTCCGACGTGGATAATTTCGGTTATTGAAGAACAGACAGTCGACGCATCCGCGTCAGTGAAACAGACATCTCTCCAAGGAAAGCTAGAGAAGAAGTCTCTGAGCCCCTCCCAGTCGGCATGTCCGTAATGCCAAGTTTTGCGGCCTGTGCGAGTTTCTGCTACCACAGCGGCTTCTGACCGAAACCTAACCTCCACAACACCGTGATCTGAGTTACCCAGGGGGGACAGGACAGCAGTGCTGTAAGGGGCAGGATGAGTGGTCAGAAAGAGATCCAGCAGGCTACTGGCGTGTGACGAGACGCGGGGGAAAAAAGTAGGGCTCGTCACCAGCTGGGTCAGCCCTTGAGTAAGAGCGAACGCTTCGACTGCACGACCTGCTGCATCGGTCTTATTTGAGCCCAACCAAAGCTCATTATGGGCATTAAACTCACCGAGAAGAACTACCTCTGAAGCGGGGTGATTGATGTTCAGGAAGTCGATCTGGACGGCGAGGTATTCGAGTAGGTCATCCCAGTTATGGTTCGAGGGAGAGCGATAACGGCAGCAAATAAATTTGGGTGATGTTTTGGAGTTGAGGCGAAGCCACAGAATGTCCTTCCGGTCTGATTCCAAAGAAAGATCCCTGGAGCAGGAAAGACTGCTGCGGACAAAAGCCACAACTCCCCCGTTCTTTCTCAGATTGGAGTGCACCTCGTAGTTTGGGAAATTGAGATGGTTAATCGGTGCAGTCTCTGAGATTTTTGTCTCCGCCAAGAAAAGCACGGCGGGACGATTGGATTGCAGGTAGTGATGAACAGCATCAATGTTGCTGTTGATCCCGCAGATGTTCGAAAAACAAATTTTATCTTCGATGTTGTTCCCTCGAGCCCACCCTCCACCCGGACATTCCGAGAGTGGAGTGAGTTTACGTCCGGAGTTTTTAGTGCTCGAGGGATCCATCATCATTAGTTTCTTTGTTTTGGTAGATAACCGACTGCATAGCTTAGGTGTGGAAACATGCGGACATTTATAAGACACCCTGGGTAAAGCTAGCGGGTGGTACTGCCTCGGTCGACTGGTCCTTGTCTACCACCTTCTTTTTACGTGTTAGTGATGTTAAATAGACCTAAAGTGGCCCGTTGGCGGACTTGTACCGCCACCCGGCAATCGGTACTGAGGTATTCCTTAACGCGTGCACAATCACTTGGACGGGAAGAAGTTGTATACTGGATACAACAACTTCCGGAACAAGCATTTGCCACGGCCCTCGCTCAGTAGGGCTGAAAGCAGTGGCACATATTTTATGACAGGCAGCTGAATGAATAAATCAATAGATATTAAACAATTGAGTATCATCTATTTATACATATACGTTGAATTGTAATAAAATATTTACGATTAAAATGTTCCTTATCCATAATATCATGGTGTATTTTTAGTTATGCATTTTGCGCTGTTTTACCGTTTCCTCATTCATTATGTCTTTACCCAACAAGTTATTGGTGGCAATCGCTACGTCCAGGTCCATGGAACGGTCATTTCGAACGTAATATGCCTGTAGCAACGTATACGACTGGTTTGGAACAAAAATTACGTGGTCAGTAATTGGAGCTGCTTTCCAGTGGCTCTGTTGAGTAACTCTTGAGTAACTCAGTGTAACTGAGTGGTGTTTATTACCAATACCGTTCCACCGCATATTGTATTCTCCTGCATTGATTCTGGAGCAGTTCGGGAGCGTATCATTCTCTAACCAAAAACTACTGGAAAGCAGCTACGGATGCAAGTTTATACTATCAGGCTTAAACCGCCAGTCCGTAACTTTCTGAGGAAACATGTAGAAGTGCGTGGAGGCTTCTGTGGATTGTAAAGAGCAGTTTAAACTGAATAAGAGCAAATCTTTTTATCGATAAATATTATATAGAGGAATTGCAGCATATTTGGAATACTGCAGGTACCTTGGAATTAGTTGTCTAAATAAATGGAAATGCGATTCGTATTTTAACGCCATCCGTACCTTTTTGCCGTAAATATAATATCGTGAAGCACAGGAAACCATGAATACTAAAACCAGGACGTCATCCTGACATTTCTTGCATCATTGATAATCATTTAGTACGATAACATAGATCTTCATTGCAGTTATTTGAACTGTTATGTGTCCTTGAAAGCTTACAATTTTATTTTGTGGGTGACACCAAGTATGATGGGCTACTTGGATATCCTTTCCGGGGAAAAGAATGTATGCCGATATATTGGTTTGTCACGTTGGTTGGCAATGATAAGCAAATTACCCGAAAATATGCACTAAAACTAAGCAATTGTGGCGACAAACAATGCAATGTAATGATATAGGTGGGGCTCTTTCTAATCTATCCGAATTCGTTGGCCTGTGGCAATTGTACACACAGAAAGGGATTTATCAAGCGAAAAGTGCAACTCGTACAAATCCGGACGTTTAATCGGCGGAAGTACGGTTATTCAATTTGGCTTTTTTCAGTGATGCATCTGACTGGTCAAATGGATTCATGAGCGTAGAATAGGAAGGTTTTTTATAACAAAGGGAACAGTGAAAAGAATCCTTTCAATACTAAAAATTTAACATGCCCCAAAATGCGACTGGGTATATCCGGCTTACTGACGTGTCGTCACATGATTTTTCAGACAAAAGAGATAAATTACGAACTTTGGGGTCAATGACCTTTGAAGCTGTCTAAAATGTTAATGCTAGGGCTGAAAATTGTGATATGCATACTGATTGAGTTGTATTCTATCGTCTCTTATTAAGGTATACTGCTACATGTGTTGACTTCCTTACTGAGTTGATTTGTAAATACATTTGAGTATATGTTTTTTTTAATTTTTAGTTATTGCAGCAGTTTTCTTTCCATTTCATTATTCACATTTGCTGTGTTTGTGTCTATTTTGTATGTTTATCTTTTTGTGTGAGATGTCTTGTAACTAGAACTACTCATATGCTCTGTTGGGCAATTATTTTTTTTTGTGAAATCTTGAGGCGTAATGATCAACTAATTGGTGTACGTTAGGTTGCGTCAGATCTATAGCTATGAATCGTGATAAGACTATATTATCCAACCCCTACTAAGGCACAGTTTTCACGAAAAACAATCCTCTTTGTATAGTCACATATATTTTTTAAATTTGTTGCTCGTTTTCATATCTTATTGCTAGCTGCCATTCATAGCTTCATAGATTTGATGCTGTATTCTAAACTGGAATCAATAATAATATGTCAACTACAACGAGCATTAAAAATCTAGACCAACCCTTTCAAAAAGACCTGTGTCGCTCGCTAATGATGAGCTATGCATTTTCTCTAATTGTTCACATCTTTTGGTGGGTTAATCCAAATAAGTGATTCCAAATAGTATGCAGTGACTTAATTTTAACAATATTAATGGTTGGAAATGACATGTTCACTGTCCGTCTTCTGTAACCATAGCCCACCGCAAAAAGCGCTGTTTCGTGCTAATTGGCATCTTGGAAAATCATTGGTAGAGGAGGGTATCGTCAGATTTCTATTCACTTGCGCATTGATGGTTTTATATATCACAAACTAACCTGCTGTAGACCGTCTGTTATAATAACATGTATAAATACCATTTTCAGTAAGGGGATATTCATGACAGGAGCCAATTGAAGTTTTTTTGCTTTGGAAAACAACTAAATCCGCCTGGAGTAATCGTATATTGTTTGTGCTAAAACTGCAATCTCCAAAATTCATTATCAGTATGTGTGTCTCAGTATCCCTATAAGCTGTAACTATAAGAACTTAAAAGCAACAAACTTCATTCGTGGTGGGTAAAACTTCAGCATTATAGCTACAGTTGAGGAACAGTAATGTTTAGAAGTTTCCTCGGCCAGTCTTGTTATTTTGTCGAGTTTCCGCTTAATGAACCAGCATTAAATTATGGTTTCAGAGTCTACAGCAAAATAAAGGTGTATTCACCTTTTATGAGAAATAATGGGCAAAATATTAAGACTGAGAGTAATATTGTAAGCCGCAGTAATGTACGTTATTGCTTTTTTGTAAATGATTTGCAAAGCTTCTTTAAATTATAATCTTCATACTACTAAAATTGTAATATGTTATACTCTGGTGAGTGGCGCTGTAATCATTTTCTCAGAATCGTTTATGGTATGATCCCAGATTTTACCCTACATGTCCGTTTCATTCATTTTTGTCAATATTTTTCCCACACAATAATAGGGTGATCGGGGTGATCTAGAAAAATAGTATTAATGTTCCTGGAATAGAAGGTACACAAGAAAACACGAAAAGTTCAACCTTGTGCAGCTATTCTGGATGTATTGAAAGCTAATCAACACAAGCAAAGTATATGCCTATGAATATCATCACAATGTCAATTTCACACAACATTCGAATAAACTCTTCTTGAGACAGACCCCACTTTCTCTTATCATAACATGTCAGACGTGGATGTTAGCGTTCTCATCAGGAACTAAATCGATTGAAAAAGGATGGAATAATTGAAGTAACAGTGAAACAGAGATTACCAACAACAGTTCAGTGTTAATTAGTTTTGTGGAGAAATTGTAGGGCAGCTACGAAATTAAGGATGCATTCTTCGACAGTCAGAAAGTAAACATAGACTTAGAAACGCATTTGAGCGAACAGGAAGACCTTAATTATGTCGCTAAAACGTGACAGTAGATATTTTACATCGAAAAACCATCTACTAGGCAGGTACAGAAATTGGCTTGTGTAACAAATGAGCCTGAAATAACTTGAGGCAGCAAAATATTTGCTGCTGTCGCGAAAGCATCTAAAGGGAAGTCTCAAACTGAGACAAATAAACATTAGCTTACTTGGTGGTGTTGCAATTTTTATAAAAGACTAGCTGACCCGACATACATTGTCTTGTCGTAGCTATAAGCTGAGAAATAATGAATAGTGAAAGGGTAAATATATGGAATGTAGGTAATTGTTTAGCGAAGTGTTTGTACTGCCATCTGGCTAGCAAAATACGTTGGCGGCACTACCATTCCCCCATCAACTTACCTTGAAAGTAGGCATAAAATTATGTCGAATGAATATGATTCAAAAAATGTATAGAATCTGGCCCATTTCTGGAAAGCAAGGAACTTAGTGGCTCTATTGGTGGTACCAGTCGAGTCAATTTGATTTTTCCACTGACGCAACATAATGCAGGGGCTTCATTTTTAAACTTGAAAGCCTTGCAATGTGGACTCACAACGTTTATCGGTCCAATAGCAACGATTTGTTGTGAACTGTAATCGATTGCCACGACGTAATTGAATGCAGCTCGATTGGGATTAAATGAGACACTTCTACGTTGTTGAATTTCAGTCCTTCTATCCCGTTAAACCTCATTTCTCGCTCCTCGTTGCTCGTCAGTTCGACTTCTTCGTATATATCTTTGACTTGCAGCATTGCAAATTCTATAACCTAAGTTAGTACGTCTAATTGGTAGCATTTTGAAAAAGCACAATTTTAATATACGGCGTGATTGCGGTGAACTAACTTCCACCCTTGTTAATTACTTTCGAACAAATACTTATCAAAAAACTCACTTAACAAACCGAATACTGGATAAAAGCTCTAATCGAATGGACTGTGCACTAGTAGTTAAATAAAACAATAATTTTTCCTCGACAAACACTGTAAAACTATAATAAAATTTGCGGCGTGCAAGCTGTCAAGATCAAAATGTTAGAGTAGTGAAAGTCTATTAAGCAAAAGATAACCATTAGGCAACACTGCAGTATCCTTAAGATATTGTTGCTATTTATAGTACACAGATGGCTGGCTGTTTAATACTGGTGTAACATACTGTATGACATTTGATAATCATTAACAGTAGTCCAGTTTTTCGCAACATATGGAGGAAAGTGCCCGAATATCGCACACTTCGTCAACCTGTATCTTGGAAGAAAAATAATTTTAAGCTGCGATATTAAGGTGAACATATAGCTTGATTATTAATAATACACATCATGGATCCAAAATATGTTTAGAAAACAAAATCTCTTAATACATAGAAAAAAGCAAAAATGTTACAGTTTTTTTACATTTTAATATGGTAACGTAATATCGCATATGCGATATTGGGTAACTTTTCGGTGGACGGTATTAGGACCCTCATCCAGACAAACAGAAATCACAAACAAAATTCTTATTTTTGTCCGAATTAGAACATTCTTCATGGGCCCATCTAAGACACTGGCAACATCTTATCCACTTTTCGCCTCTGGTATCCTCTGAGTACAGTATCAAACAAAACATACATTCTGCGTCATTATCTTCATTTTCGGAACTGCAATTTATGTCCGAATCATCATCCAATTCCATATTTACGTATATGTCCGACTCACTAGACTCACTATCATTGTCTTCTTTTCGGCTCCTTTTACCTTTGTTTGAATTCGTGTTATTCGAACAAGCAGATTTCTGTGCCAAAGATTTCGTTTTTTTTATTGGTTTCTTTGTCTTAATGCTCTTAACTCTTGCAATATTTATTTCACTTTTCTTTGTTAAGTTTTCTATGTTGGACGGACCAGCTCCATAGTTGAAGACCATACATTCTTTTTTACAGCCTTTTTTTTATTTAATTCTGCAACACTTTTTCTAAATCCTCCTTATAAGGTGTACTGGTTATTAATTTTGCTGAACCTGTTCTGGCTTATTATTTGAGACTGTTTTATATGCTCCACTGGCTGATGGTAGTCGAATTATGCTTTCAGGACCTATGTAGACATGGTGTGGTGGTTGTAATTTGTTCTGGATCTGGAGTGTTATCATTCTCTGTTGAAGGTGGAGGTGTAGCTTCATGTTGTCTATGAATGGCAAAGTCGTGAGCATGAAAAATAAATGGGTTGAAAGGAAAAATGCCACTTTTCCTGAACCCATTAACGGATACTTCCGCAGTGGCGGCTTTTAAGTATGCTTTATCTAATAATTGGCCTATCTGGTAAACTGAAAAAGGTATACCAATATGATTTTTTAGCCATGTTTCAATCTCCTGGGAACAGTAAGTTTTAAATGGACTCATAAATGCCAGATCCAGAGGCTGCATTTTATAGGTCGAGTGGGTGGAAGACTGATAATTATCACACCATGGATTCTAGCAAGCTCAATGACATCCAAGTTTCGCGTATGAGAGTAGTGTCCGTCAAGTAATAATACTACTTGTCATCAACTGATGGCTTTGTGTGTTTGATGAAATGACGTAGCCAGTCAGTGAATAAAGCTTGTTGAATCCAACCCGATGGATGGCATCCTGCTAGCGTCCCCAGTGGCGCACCGTCGAGAAGCTCTGCCTTCATGTTTTTCCTTGGAAAAATGAGCATCGGAGGTACGAACCCCCCAGCAGCATTCATGCAACTCACCATTGTTACGAGTGAACCCCTCTCGGACGCAGTGATAGAATTAACCTGTCTTTTGCCTTTCAGCGAGATTACTCTGGAATGCTTCGACTGTACGTAGGTTATTCCGGTTTCATCAACATTAAAAATTTTAGCAGGGTTATTACAAATTTTTTGCAAAGCAGGTTCTAAAACATCATAAAATATCTTCACGTTCTCTGGATAAATCCTTTAATCCTTGCAGAAGAAATGCTCTGTGGTTTTCTGAATGCCAATTTGGGGTGTCGGTCAAGAAATCTTCTAAGCCATTTTTTTCCAGCTACACCTTTTTGACGTAAAAATGGATTAGGTATATTATTTCTCAATGTTTTATTTGTATTTTTTATATAATCCTTTAATGTACTTTTGGGGACATTAAATATTTTTGATGCTTTCAGATACCCCATTTCATTATTTTTAATAGCTTTTACTGCAGCCAACATTGATTCCTTAAGCCATTTTTTCCGTTTGTTTTGAGAATTCATTTTATCTGGAATAAAAACAAATACTTACTTTTTTATTCTTTGAGTGTACCTAATATATACGATATTAGGACCCCCTTGTTGTGCGATATTAAGGCACATGTTAAATTTAGGTTAGCTTGATGACAGGGCAATATTTGTTAACTAACAGTCATCATTAGCCCGTATTCTAATGAAATAACTGAAGAGACGTGTTGTTTAATAACAGGTACAGAATAGATTTTAGCAGGAGTCAATTACTTTTCTGAGTTGGTGCATATCACGCATCTTACGGGTACGGTTTAAATAACCGATTTTACTAAACTACCCCAACACGTTAAACAACTATTTGTTTCTTACTTGTATGCACAGCTGGGGTTCTATGGCTGCAAAGCGGAGTGTTATAAACCTTAACCACGGTGTTATCCACCAAACGCTGTCTGATTAAATGTGAAATAAGGAGTCGAGCCTTATGAACTAAGGAGTACCTTAGCATGTTGCGTTTATAGTAAGCCTACGATGGCTGCTGTGACGACATACGTATGGCATTTGTGTCGAACAGTATCCGTGGCGAACATCTATTTGGTGTCTGGGCATCTACAGTATCGAGAACTGATGCTCCGCTGGAGAAATGTGATTTATAACTAAGCTTCTATGCATTCCTTTGTTTCAGATGGCAAACCCTTCACTGACCCCGTGCGTATCATGACTACTGGTACGACCTGCTCGTCTGACTGAGTCTCCCCCACCAGCCACGCCTTACCCAAAGCAATAATAATGTCCAAGTCGCTCATCCTCATCATCGACCTGGACACCATACATCCCTATTCCTTACCCTTAGCGACCCTATTGTCCCCGCAGCGACTCCGGTACTACTCGGAATGACCCTCCACTAAACCCCCTTCCACCCTCTGCCTGCGCCCTCCCGACACCCGCCGAGATGCTCCGACTAGCCACGATCACCAAGGTCGCCGTCATCCAATTTGTGCTACTCCTCACTCAGGTGGAAAGCGAACAGCAAAGGCAGTACGCGAACCCCGTGCAGGGGAGGATTTTCTTCGCGATTGGTGAGTATAGGAGCCCCTTCCCACTTCAGTTGGCCCAACTATTGAAATCTTAGTTTTTTTCTTATCAAACACAAATAATAAAAACGTAGCAGGGTGTTATAAGTTTAAAATATTAACAATGAATATTTTGATAATATATAGGTAGTATAAAACACCAACTTTATCACTCCCTAATCAAATGTGCAGCATAAAAATAACACATGTTGCAATTACAGCATATCAACCTATTTTCATTTCAATGCAAAATAAGTCTATAACGCATAGGTGGCTGTAAAAAATAAAAGCCATGACAATTGTTTTTATTAATCACAGCTATCAGAATAAGTTTTGGGTAGTTGAGGTTTTCAAAATGGGTTATTAGTGAGAAAATTCGGTAACTGATAATTGAATTTTTTAATTCTGGGAAATAAACTCAGAAATTGCAACTTTGTTAGACTTATCGTGGTACAGTATGATAAATATTGTTAGAAGATACATCGTAACTGGTTCAGTTAATATTAAGCCACGATGTGTGAAAAAACGTAATATCACAAATGCCGACCGAAGAGCATTAAGAAGAATAATCGTGAAAAACAGGCGTGCCAATTATTTACAATTAAGTGCTCTGTGGAGTGACGCTGTTGGAAGGAGAATTTCGAGGTCCACAACTCATAGAGAGGCCCACAAACTGGGATTTAGCACTTGCAAGGTAAGTTTTCTTATAAAAAAAAGTGAAGTAAAAACCCTAAAGTTGCACAACTTGTTTATAGGCCAAAGAAAAGCCACTATTAACTCCACTGCAAAAAAAAAATCGGCTTAGATGGGCTAAAGAACATAGACAATGGACACCTCAACAATGGTGTGCAATACAATGGAGCGATGAGGCCCGATTCGAAGTTTGTGTTGGTGACAGTCGCAGAACAGTTATTCGCAAAAAAATGAAACATTCCACGTTGACTGTCTGAAGAGAAAAGTGAAATTTCCAGCATTTATTATGGTCTGGGGCAGTATGTCATCAAAAGGAGTAGGAAAACTTCAATTTATTGATGGAAATGTGGATACAAACAAAAATTTGGCAATTTTAGAAGAATCGCTTTTACCAGTGATGGAAGAATGTTTGACATCCGGCCAAGATTTTGTGTTTCAGCAAGATGGTGCAGCGTGCCATACCTCAAAAAAGGCTATAAAATGGATAGAAGAAAATAATGTACCATTTTTGAAATGGGTTTCTATCAGTCCAGATCTGTCACCTATTGAAACCTTGTGGCACGAGATGAAAAAGGTTCTACGACAACATCCTGCTCGTACAATTACCGAAGTGAGACAAGAACTTCAAGAAATATGGGATTGTTTTACACCATTTTTGCCAAAACTTGGTTAGCACTATGCCCCAAAGAATTTCAGCCGTAATAAAGATAATGGTGCTGTTACCCAATGGTAATCTTTTAATTGTTGCTTTGTTAAGTTCGCGCATTTATTCGCACATTGTTTGTTTGTTCAGATGTTCTATTAGTTATAGTCAAATATGTATTTTTTACGACTAGAGTATATCTAAAACGTTTTTGGCAAAATAAATTGTTTTAGAAGTAAATAGTTTCGTCATGTTTAGTTTATAAAGGCATATTTTGGTACAAATCCTGAAGTGGGCCAACTGAAGTGGGAAGGGGCTCGTAGACATTTATATATTAAGTTTACATGAAAAGCACGACTCTCTGACAACTATAAATGCCATAAGCACTTAATTCGACAAAAATAGGAAATTCGTTGACTCAAACATTCCCAAGAGTTCGGTGGGGACTGAATGTCGCATTAAACTGTAGCTTTAAGGTACTTTTCAACATCTTATCCGTTGACGAATGTACTTATATAAAGTGTGATTAACTGCACACTGCAATAGAATGGCAGCTAGTTCAAGCACCACCAACATTCTACGGCATGCTATGCTTGAAGTACCACCAGCATAGAGCTAAATATGTCTAATGACGCTCTTGATTGACATGTCATCAGATATAATGTATGTGCCTTTACTACCAGCCTCAAAACCATTATCTGAGTTAACTGACATAGCACTTCAAGGGAAAGTTGCACTAATGTGTAAGAGACTATAAGCACAGATAATTCTGATGTTATCAGTACTGCTGTCGCCTAGCAATCAGTCTTCAGTTGTTGGTTATTCTGGTAACGACTCCCACCGAGATAGCAATTTAGTAGCGTAGCAGAGCTACAAAGGTATCCTCCTGAGAATCTTGGTGTATCCTCAAAAGAAAAATAACTTTTAGATCTAAACATTCCTGAACTTATTTTCCTGAGCTACTTATATGATTTGCTGGTCTCGTCTTCTTCATTGGTGTCGTGATCTCTACCATAATCTAAATATTTCTGCTAGGAAAGTACATACTAGGGAATAACTCGAGACAACAGATTCTCGATCCCCGGTACCTCATGATGCTATAGTTCTCCGAGTTGATGTGGACCAGACGTACCTTTCTTTCTTCTGTCTGTCACTAATCCATGTACCTCTAAGAAGGAAGAAATGTATCAGGAAATCAGCCTAGGCGACCAAGTAACGATAGAATTTGGATAGGAGGCTGGAGGATACCAGAAATTCAAGTTTATTGGCTCTCTATAAACCAAACTAGCCTTTCTCTTCTGGCAGCTTCTTGATCTCTTGAGCTTCACTAAGCTCATGTTTACATGTTCATCCTTATGGTTGTACCTTAGCGCCACAGCTTGAGCTGGCCAGGCGTAGCAGAAGACGCTGAGTGCAGACTGTGCATGGAGAAGACGGAACGCTTAACACGTTTTGTACAGATACCCTTGCAACTGCCAGTGTCAGTTAGACACAATATATTTGGTAGAGTGTTGCTCCAATATTAAACCTAAAGGAGGTTTCTTCTGGCCCGCTCACAAGAAAGGTAATTCAATGATATACGGACATCTAATAACGTCGAATTTCGATCGTAGTGGCTTTCTGTCATCTTCAACGTTGAGCCTATTTAGCTTACATAAAAGTAGCTTAACTAAACTGATATTATTGTTTTCAGCTGCGCCTCCGAGCGCGCAAAGCTACATCCGCGCGTTCAACCGGACCCTGTCGAACATAACCCAGGGGTTCGTGATCAACGGGAACGAGAACGGTGCCAGCTACAATCTAACTCTGGACACGTTAGCGATCGACCTTCCGGAGAACGGTAGCTTCAGCGCCCAGCTGCTGGAGTCGGTGTGCGGGAAGCTGGAGGGCAGGCGCGTGGTCGCGGTGCTCATTGTGGGACATTCTCAGGCTGCTTTTACGGTCTCCATGACGGCCAAGCATGCCGGCATACCGGTGCTCTGGGCCAAGGGACGAGGAGGCTTCCTGCCAGGATTCAAGAGTCTGGTAAGTACAAATGAGTTCAATTCATAATCTGATTGGCTTCGAATTGTGATGAAATTTGCGCAACTTCAAAGATTTGATATCCAAGTTACTTGCTACTGGAATCAACTGATATTCTATTTAGCTTCAAAGTCCGAATAGTCCCCAATTAGACCAAATGATCTTATAACGAGCTGGACAGCTGGCGGCGATGGCGACGATACACATTGTCCGGCTTCAAAGTTCAAACGCCTAACTCTGCTAATGATGTCAATCTGCAGTCTGAACTTGGCGCTAACAGGCATGTAAACCAGAACTTCGCTTAAATTATAGAGCCTTGAACCCTGTATATGTTTAGCTTCGAAGATCCAATGAGTTTGCCCACAACTATCGTCAATCGATATTAAGTTTCAGCTTCAAAGTCCAAATGATCTTTTAATATCCTACTACGGAATTAAATTATGCTTTAGGTAGTGCTTGACTGACGATACAACTTGTCCAGCTTTAAAGACCAAATGACCTTGCCTGCTAATAAGGACAGTTGGTTTACAGTAGTTCCACAGCTAGAAGCGATTTGTTGATCTTTTTCCTATCATTTCTGTCTTAAGCAAGGGTCTTATTTAGAGCTAAGTGAATTGAACGACTGATTGACTGCAAGCTGAGAGCAATTAGTTATATGGCCGATGGTTTCAGTCATACAGGTTCCCTACTCCCTCCACCAAAAGTATTATGAGCTTGTATACAGTTCTAAGCCGCAGCAGCCTCAAAAATGATTCTTTTTGCATTGGTATAATGAATTTATAAAAATACCTTCAAAATATATCAACTGCCCGAACGCTGCCACCCATGAGTAGTTCGCAAAACGCGGTACCACTAACGTGGTTGGTTTTGAAACATTGTTCTGACAATGTTTGCTGTAAATGTTTGACACCGCTGGCTTTAAGTGGATACCAGGGCAAGTATTTGTGTTGCATCTTCAAATCAACAACTGAACTTTATTGAAAATTTTGACATAGAGACTAGTACAGAAGGTACAGTCTATGAAAGTCAAAGTTAGCCATTTGTTAGTCCACTGAGTTAGGCTGTTGAACCTACATAGTTTGAACCTACATTTAGACAGTCACAATCCCAAAGATAATGACCTTGATTCTAGTTTTTAAATCTTGAAGAAGCTAATTTTTTATATTTTTCCGGGATTTCACATTCAGCAATTTAATAACATGAAAACTAAAGACCTTCTTGATTCAGAATGACCCGAAAAAGCTTTCACGTTTTTTTAATATATTTGCGAGCAGTATATCGTTGTCAGATTGTTGCAGACGAAATTATTAATGCATATTAGATTGAATAAATTCGAATTTAGAATTTTTGCGGATTTCGTACTTATATTAGTTTTTGGCAAAATTATTTACAATTTGTACCATCTGTTCCTCTGAGTGCATACCTACTTGGGTGCATTATGACATTTAAGAAATTACGTTGGTATCCAGGAATCTTTTCAACCACAAGGAACAGTCATAAGGACTGGGAGGTATTCCCCCTTTTAGCGATGACTCATTGCTTCTAAATTATTTCAAGTGATCGCAAAATTCCTTAATCACAATAACGCAACTAGAGTAGTCGAATAATCTGCAGCTCAAGAACAATATTTCAGCATTGGCAATTATTGAGTAACTAATGTCATAATCAGTACCAAACGTGATTTGTAACTTTAGAAAAAAATTAAGAGTTTTGAAGACCTAATCAGCCTCAATTATTTTTTGTATCTGACCAATCAGTGACTTCCACAACATCCAGATGAGACAAAACTTCCCATTTATGGGAGTCACTTCCCAACTTAATATTTCTTTTCATACCACGAATCAAAAGATTGTCAGAGGGTAACCCGTTGAACATTAATTTGTTTAAGCAATAGTTTTAAGCAAATTACACAATGTTTTTTTCACTTAGGATAATTATGCTAGGTGGTCACCTAGGATTTGGACAAAACCGAGTTATAAACGATCTAATGTCAGAAAAAGCTTGAAATGGTCATCCTCAATGCTTGAAAACTAGGTAAAAAATATTATTCCTACGGTAGCCTTCAGATGCATTGTGCCCATCATCAATAAATATGTACCCATGTAATTTTTTTTTAAATTGAAAAGACGACACAGTCCTATTTGTTATTTACTCATGTGAAGTAAATATGGAATAATTGTGCTTTCGGGTAATTATCCCTGAATCTCGTCTCCCCCTTCTCCAATCGGAAGCACTTTCACCTATCACCTATCCTGTGAAAGTAGCAACTTTTCTCTAAATTATCGAACAGACACGCACAGTGTATCTTTATTTTGAACCGTTTTGCTCCACACTATTTACCTTCCGAAAAGAAAAAGTGGTTTATTGCGAGTCAGAAGCCTTCGAGCAAATAACTTGAAAGTCAAGTTACTTTGATATTAAGGAAGAGATGTTTGCAGAAGGTCAATTATGGCCAGACGATGAACCTTAAGAAGTTTGGGAAAATATTTGCATAATTCTTGAGAGTTTGTGATTTTTTATTTGATTTATTGTAATAAGATGCAGAAGTTGGCTATAAAGGGGGAGCTTTTTGATCCTGGAACAAAAAGCGAGGATGTAGCTGAAGCACAAGTGAATAAATCTTAGCAAAGGATATGAACATGTAGGAGCTTTGTTTAATAAAATATTAAAAATGCTCGGTGAGATCGCAAAATATTTTGAACAACGAGACAAGAACTCCCCTCTTAGTAGTGCTTTTAAAGAGGATGCTGCAACATAAGTCTCACACCAGCACAAGATTGGTAGAATCTAGGTACGTAAGATATAAACATATTCTCCACAGTTCAAGGGCTTTTTTTATATCGAAGCAGCCGCGCAGGCAGAAGCCTAAATGCCGGAACACCGCGGCTGCTATGATGATACCAAAGAAATTTTGTTAATCCGATTTTTGAACTGCCTAGGGTTACTAGAACTGGGAAAAGCTTCCTCTTGTAGATTGTTCCACAATCTCGACACCCTCGAGACAAAGGAGCAGTCGTATCGACCAGTTCTGGATGTACGAAGTTCGACACGGTTAGGCGGGTCCGCCTGGAAGCTCTGAGGAGCAAAGCCCGTTGGTGTAGCGGTAGAAAATAGCTAGATCGCCTACGACCCGCCGGTGCGAAAGGGTCCCGGGACTGTCTGTTAGAGAAGAGCCATCGATCAGTCGGACCGCCCTCCTCTGGACAGCATCGAGCATGGACAATGTAATCGGGGCGGCAGCACCCCAAACGTGTGAGTAATACTTTAGGCAAGGCCTTATCTGGGCCTTGTATAGAGTGAGAAGGTCATGCGGAGAAAAGTACTTCTTAGCCCTAAACAAATAGCATAGCTTTTTCCCAGCAGTTACTGCCATTGACGAGATGTGTTCGTGCCAGATCAGGTCCTCGGTGATCTGGACTCCGACCAGCCGAAAGGAATGGCTCTTTGGCAGAATTCGGCCATACATCGAAACCGGATGAGCGCTAGGACGTTTTTTGTTCGACAAACTACAGTACTGTGTTTTGGAAGCAATGAACTTTACAAGATTGTTGCGTCCCCAAGCAGTGATAGCTTCCAGGTCTCTTGTCAGAGAGGAAGTCGTCGTTAGTGTTCTTCTTTCCAGCTCAGCGGCAGAGATCGGCTTGTGACTCTGAATTGCTGCATGTAGAGTGCTGTGATCAGCGAAGCTGTGGATTGGGTTGATCGTGCAGGGAAGGAGGTCGATGATATGAAAGAGAAACAGTGTCGGAGCCCCCCGAGTTAACGTTGTAGGATGAAGAGGAGAACCCGTCAATTACGACGGATATCTTGCGGCCAGAGATAAAGTCAGCCACCCATCTGAAAAGCTTTTCTGGAAGGCCATAGGATGGAAGTTTGCTTAAGAGGGCAGCGTGCCACAGCTGATCGAACGCTTTCGTTATGTCAAGAGCAACGACATGAGCCTCTCCATAAGACTGGATGAGTTTACTCCACAATTGCGTGACGTAGGCTAGGAGGTCCCCTGTGGATCGTTGGTGCCGGAAACCATACTGCCTGTCGCTAATCAAGCTTTGACTTTCGAGGTAGTCCAGAAGCTCGCGATTTATGCATCTCTCCATCACCTTACATATAACAGAAAGCAGAGCTATAGGCCTGTAGTTGTAAGGGTCCGTCTTAGATCCTTTTTTGGGGATGGGTTGGACATGAGCAAATGTCCAGTTTTCTGGGAAGGAGCCGGATTCATAAGATATCTGAAAGAGACGCAAAAGAACTGGAGCAAGCTCCGCTGCACACCCCTTCAGTACAATGACAGGAATCAAGTCCGGACCAGAAGCTTTGTTGATATCGAGCGACAAGAGCACTCGTCTTACAGTCTTATGCCTGAATGTTATCTCCCGCATAGTGTAGGGAACCCTTTGAGTCGACGGCACTTGGGCGTTGGGGGGGACGTCCAAGTGGAGTTGGCAACAAAGATCTTGGCTAGCACTTCCGCCTTGGCTTTTGAGTCGAATACAATAGTTCCATCCTGACATGTAAGTGGTGGAAGGCTACTGTGTGAGAAGTTCTTCTTAATCTGCTGCGGACAGAAGCCACAATTCCCCCGTTCTTTTTCAGATTGGAGTGCACCGCGTAGTTCGGGAAGTTAAGATGGTTAATCGGTGCAGACTCTGAGATTTTTATCTTCGCCAAGAAAAGCACGGCGGGATGGTTGGATTGCAGGTAGTGACGAACAGCATCAATGTTGCTGTTAATCCCGCAGATGTTCGAAAAACAAATTTTATCTTCGATGTTGTTCCCTCGAGCCCACCCTCCACCCGAAGTGCTTAGTACTCGAGGGATCCATCATCGTTAATTTCTTTGTTTTGGAAGATCACTGACTGCATAGCTTAGGTGTGGAAACATGCGGACATTTATAAGACAAAAAAAGCTAGCGGGTGGTACCGGCTCGGTCGACTGGTCCTTGTCTACCACCTACTTTTTACGTGTTAGTGATATTAAATAGACCTAAAGTGGCCCGTTGGCGGACTTGTACCGCCATCCGGCAATCGGTACTGAGGTATTCCTTAACGCATGTTCAA